GTTAAGTAAGTAATAAATAGTAGCATTTACTATTAATTACCAAGGTATTTCGATACTATAATTTTCGTGAATGGAAAAATTCATCACAACCACCTAATCAATATTCATACTTTTCATGAATGCAGGCAATTTTAGCTCATCCAAAAAGATGAACCATATAAATATCGCTCACAGGTGACGTCGGGAGATGGCGGCAGGGACCTAACTAAGAGCACTGAGGCCACAGGCCATCCATTCGAGATGGACGAGGAACAGACAGTAAGTGGAAAAGAGCTGAAAACTCATGCAGAAAGGATGAGGGGACGACCTAAAAAGCCGGTAAAAGATGCCATAGAGAGTTACATGCTGAGGAGAGACGAAGTCAATAAAATCCCGATAGGAAAGTCAATCGCACGTAAGCCGGAGAGAGAATGGAAAATAGTGAGGAGTAGGAGCGAATCGACAAACATGAACATGATTGCAGGAGAGGCGCTGACGGATGAGAGGGATGCAGATGACCCTGAGCCGATAGAAGCAGTAGACAATGAGAGTGTAGGAAACCAAGCAGAATGGATAGTGAGGAGAGTCTATTACACTGCCCGAACGTTGAGTGGCGAAAAGAAGAAGTTCCAATAAAACAAACAAGCGGAATGGAGGTCCCGGGAGACAATCGCAATGGTGAAGATGGAATAGATAACCAAATCGTGGTCACACAGGGAGCAGGGAATAGGGGGTAGGGGGTCAGCAGACTGGATGGAGATGAAAGAAAGAATGGGAGGTACCAGGCAGTGTTAGAAAAGGTGGATAGACTGGACAGAACGACAAAGGGCGGTATGGAAAGACTGGAAAGGCTAGCTGAAGAGCTGAGGACGAGTATAGACGAGTAGAGGACCTGTTGAGATCTCAAATAGCCAAGGAAATTAGCCCAGTGAGAGAAGGGCCTAAGAGGAGGGTTGCTGAATCGAAAGGAATGCTAAGCGGTATCAGCACAGGAGTGGAAGTAGTACAGGATGAAGAGAAATAGTAGAAACCCTAAAGAGATGAGTTGGATCGCTGACGGAGGACATGGACCTCGTGAAGAAGTTTTAGCAAGCCTCCTGAGGAATGAGACCCAAGGAGAGGAGGAGGGACTGGGAAGCCGAAAATGGAGGAAAAGACGCTGATAACGAGGAGAACCAGCCACGAGGAGGCTCTTGTAGGATGGGAAAGAAGTCAAAACGAGAGCTGAACCAGAGTGAAGAAGAGAAAGGCAGGTCCAGCGAGAAGCAGAATGGCAGTTTTGAGGAGGACTATCATAGTTTCCCCCCACTCTCAACTCCTGAATCGATCGCATCGCACTCGATGGTACCCTCGGAGGAGAAAATGCTACAGGATGGAGGTAAAGGTGGAGGTCAGTTCTAACGGAGACCAGGCTGGAAACCGAGGAATTCCATGCTAAAGAAACAAAATACGGAAAAATCGCTACGCCAAGAGGTGCTAGAAGAACTTGCGTGGAGACCAGGGCCACACGACGGAATATCAAAAAGGGAATGGCAGTTAACAACGTGGTAGCTAACGGGCTGGCAGCGGGATATGGAAAGGAGTGGTGTAGCCTCAAGAGTTTCACCATAGAGATGAGAAAGCTGGACGTAAGTGTGAAGAGGTGCTCAAGGTTAGGAGCCGGAGAACTCCTCTTCAAGCGAGAGAGCCATAAGGAGAAGGGGAGTGACACGCAGCGAGCCTTCAGATCGAGGGAGGTAGAGATAAAAGATGGTCTAACGCCCAGCCAAATGAAGATATCAGGACACCTGAATATACTGGCAGTCAGAAGAGCTGGGACTGAAGGCGATAGTCCAGTCCAAGCCTATCAGCAGGCAATTTGGATTGAAAACGGGGAGTTCAGAACGAGAGGATAAGGAAGCTGATGACGATGGGAGAGTAGCACCACTGGGACAGTAAGAGGCGGAGAAACGGCACGGAATCGCCAAATAGAGATAAGGTTGAGAAGTTGAGAGATATGAATGAGAATCATTGAAACTGGGGGGGGGGGGTCTGATGAGGGAAGAATCAGGGCAACCTGCCGGAACGTGCAACGATTAAACGGAGAGAAAGTGAATAGAACCTGAAAGAACCTAGAGAGGTTTGGCATTTATGTTTTGCTGGAGACACATATACTAAATCACCAGCAGGAAGGCCCGATTCAAAAAATAAACAGTATTACTAGTGATTTTAATTGGGAGCATCAACATGCAATCAAAAGATGTCAAAAGGGCAGGGGCATGGGGAGATTCTTAGGGGGAACGAGGAAAGACAATCTAAGGTATGCTCGGAGTTGCAGCCCTAAAATGATTAAGGTTCCAATTATAAGCGACTTAACGTGATTACACGGGTTACTTTATATTCCTGTGGTGGTGGTAACATTGGGAGATGGCGTATGCGCGACATTGAAATGCGAGGGCAAAATGGTTTGAATGTTTATGCACGTTTTGATAAGAAAAAATGGAAGTAATATGATGGTTCAGATTCAATATTCATTGGTGGAAATGAAAGTCGGATGTTCGTGAACTTGAGAAGGAAAAATCTAATCGTCAATAATTGTTGAAATTTTCGTCACCACTAATTTTTGCACTCATTTTTTCAAGTCCCGCAAGCTAGTCTAAAAAATTTGAAATTAGTCTTGCTTCCGGCAAAATGAATCGTTCCTGAATATGAAATCTCAGCAAGACGTGGCGAGGGATTTTTTTTTTAATTTGTTCAACAACTCTGACTGATTTATAGAAATGAGCTAAAGCGTTAGCGGTAATCAAAATTGTACCTCTCAAGTTGATAATCATCCCACTTTCAATTTCATCGTTAATTCTTAACTTTCAACCATCACATTATCTTTATTTTTTGTCCAGAAAAACAAGTCCGAATACGGGAAAATCACATTTTCAGGCCGGTTTTTGAGAAAAAAAAAAGCCTAAACCGATCTCTATTGATCACCTCAATAAATTATGCGTGAAATATCTCTAAAGACTAAAGGACGCTGATAATGTTTTTGATTATGAGAAATTTGTGCATTTCAATTAGGCATCGATAACGGGAAATATAGAAACGAAAAGTTTGAAAATGCATGTCAAGTGAGGTCTATCAACATGATAATATTTAATCATTGTTTTCCTAATAATATTTCTTCTGCAAGAAATCTATGAACGGTAGGGATGTTCTTGTTTTGTTAAATCGATTGAAAACAATCAACAATCAATTAAAAGAATAACAACAAAAATGCAACAATTTCCAAAATATTTCCATTAGAGAAATTTAAATTTTTCTTATTTTGCTTTTCTCACCACTAAGTTTTTGCCGAATATCCCCATTACTGGGTGCAGCCATAAATTTTATGGCTTGGGACAATTTTGCCTAATGAAATTTGGGAGCTGGAGTATGAGCGCGTTTATTAAATCAGAAGGTGGCAGATGCCCCTAATTAGGGGTCACATGCCCCAAATGAGCCCTGTCCAGTACGTAGTGCCTCCAGTATCAAATGTGAAAGGCCATAAATCATCCGAGTGTGTCGGGTAAAGTCGGACGGGTGTGATGAATCCAATTGAATAGAGTATGGGCGTGTTCGTATGTATGGGCAAAATAAGCTTAAACCGAACATTTGAAACAATCCATCTAAATATTTCCTGAGGGGGGCAAGTGACAAGAAATGTTTTGAGACATGAGGTGCAGCTTGCAAACATAAGCTTGAAAACTGAAAAAAATGCATGCATCAAATGTCCCCCTTGGAGCTATACAACTTATGTTTCAAGACATTTCCTGTCAATTGTCCCCCTCAATAGATATTTAGGTAGAATGTTTTGAATGAGAAAGGTACCCTGTATAAAGAAAGTTCTGAGCTTTTTTCTCATTAAAGTCAATAGTTTCATCCGCTTTCATCCGTTTATTAATTAACAATATTAGTGAACCGCCGTGACCTTCTACTTTTTCATATGTTGTTCAGTGTAAAATTTACGAAATGTTACCTAACAATAATGATTCGTGAAATTCCTTGTCGATTTTACATTTTTCAGAAAAATTACTTTTTCGTATTTTTTCAGTGACCAACCCGATAATTTAATGAATACTCCAGATTTTGAAAATTATTTTTATAGAAATTCACTGAAAACCATGCTGGCTTGCTGATTGGAAGAAATGGTCAGCAATTTTTCTCGGATATTATTCTCCGTCTGAAGAATTAACGGTAGACTGGTTTAGCTTTATGGGTACCTATTACCAGATTATTTTTATCACCTTCTTTCACACTTCCCATAATGAAGATCGGACTTATCCATTTTGTAATAACATATTTGAGTTTTTCATGAAAATCTGAAAAGATAGCCGGGTGTACATTACGTGTATCAATAGTCTAACTACATTATCCTTCTTTAATTGCTTGATTTCTAAAATCATTCAACGTCAATGAACTTTTAAGATAACTGGCAAGATTTAAATTCATGGCATACGGACTGCATACTGCCTACTTGTTCATCATCATAATTTAAAAAGGAGAAACATCCAGACTATCGATATCTCGAAAGTCTTTCTTTCAGGTGGCTAATTTTAATTCAGACCTCATTAAATTTTGAAATTTCCAGTCATAATTTTTATAATTACGGGGCCCTGAGGCCCGCGTTCAGTCTCGTGCACTACTAGTTGAGATACTGAAATTGTTTTTACCTGCATTCCAAATCTCATCTATTTAAACGGATTATGGTCTGTGTACTGTTATTAGATAATGAAAAGGATTGCTGAGACAGTTATATTATGGAGTTGGGAAAATCCTCTGAGAGTTCTCTTATCTATGTTTTTAAGAGTTTTTATGTATATTCCTGGTAGTTTCTTGTTGACAAGCAGGCCCTCTTGATGTTCTAGAATTACATCCTTAGAACATTTTTTTATATTTCAAAATATTCGAAAAATTACGGTCTAATAGTCTCCAAAAATTGAAAGTATTCTTTTCTATGCCAATAATTTGTTTTCACTTGTTAAAACTGAATTATTTTTTTTTCCTTCTAGTGTCATCCAAAATGGTCCATCAGAAGGAGAAGCCTCCCTTACCCCTAAAAAAGTCGTCTCCGAAAAAATCTCTGATACCAGTACACCAGTATCGTCGAGTCTACCTGATCAATTGAACCTGACTTGTCACACGAGCACTCCATTGAAGAACCCTGGACATAATTCCCCTTGTTACCTAAATTTGACAAGCAGCAGTTTCAATCAATCCTCAACCTCTTCAAGGCTCGAAAGCAGCCCTATTAACACTTCAATGGAATCTGAAATTTTAAATTCCTCTGTAGCATCAAGCTTACTAATTCCAGACTCTCCTATATATGATGGACCAATTCGAAGACCTAAAACCCCCGCAAAAAAATCCTATATGGAGGAAGATTTTCCTGCGCTCGGACAAACCCATAGAAGGATCAGTAAATGTAATGTAAACAGTTCGTCAAATGTATATAATTCTTTGAAATTTGAGCAGAATTACACCAGACAAAGAAAGAACTCAACGCAACTAGGGGATTTTCTAGTGACATCCAAGAAATCATCCCGAAGAAATAATTCTACCACTCAAGCAGAGAAGAGTATAGATGATGTAGGAGTAAATATTGAGAAAGATCTGAGTAATCAAAAGAAGACCGGTAATGGTTCCAAAAGAAGGATAAAACCAACGAAGTTAGAAGTTTCTGGGGGAGAAGGAACCGTTCAGAGTCAACTTTTTGGGGTTATTTCACGTCCCGAGACGAAGAATCCTCAATTTTTGGAGGCTCAAACTACAGACCAATCTGAGGACATCAGGAATTTTGAGTCGGAAAGAGCACTACTGAAATTGGAAAGAGAAAGAAAATCAACGTATCATTGTACGACTGAACTTTCGAAATGGCAGGTGCACAAAGCCACGAAATCAACGGAAGTCAGCACGTGCGCTTCTGTCGTTACTCCTAGATTATCTCTCGTTGATAATATGGCCGTCCTGGATAAATTGGCTGATCTTTATGGGAATTTGATCAGGCGAAATTTGGTCCCCAATGTGATGGCGGAACTTTATTTTATTATGACTTTGATTATTTCTCAGTCGAAGGGAACTGAGCATATATCCTTGAATGTCCTGGGAGGAACTGCCGGGTGTAAAAGTGTTGATGAAGGCGATATAGGTGAGAAGAATTTATAACTTATGCTACTTTTCATAAAAGCGGTTATAGTATATTGTGCACCATGGGAGGAAAACAGGGCATTCCAACCCGCGTGGGTATTACCGACCCGAGGCGAAGCCGAGGGTGGTAACCGCGCGGGTTTGAATGTCCTGTTTCCCTTCCGCGGTGCACATTGTTCTTTCCGTCATGGCTAACACGGAAAAGTTCGATTTTTCTTCGTAAATGAAGGGAGGAATGTGGGTTATGTTATCCCGAGGATGCTCAAAAACAATAGAAATCCGAGAGAGAGAATAGGCCACTTTCTTCCCGTCATTTGGGGAATAAAATCGAACTTTCCGTGTAGGTATGACGGAAATTATATTTTACATATTAAATGGTAGTTCAGATAGTTAATACTCGATTTTTTTTCTCCAGAGGTAGAGTTCATAGAACGGGAGAAAACATATTTAAGTACACCCCATAATTGTGTTTATTTTGCTACGAATATTTTAATTCACCAAAAGGATTTATTGGTTGTATTGGATCGAACGACCATCAAATTACTATATGAGAATCATCATATTGAAACATTCAAACCTGAACTGCGGCATTACTTGGTAGAGTTGTACGACAAGAAGGTGCTGGAGTCCAACGAATTTAAAGAGACTGATATAAGGTATTAATGCTGTTTTCCGATTCTAGGAAAGCATAATAAAATTTTTTCTCCTAATTTCGCAACTTTCAGTGCAGATAATACTTGTGCACTGTTAAATATCATATTTTGCGGATATCAACTATTCATAATTATCATTCAGATTCACACTATTTGATAACGATATCTATAATAGTACATTTCGGCATTAAGCTCTCAGTAACTTTTCTTTCGAATTGAGGTTCCATGTGTAAACATATGAAGTAGAAAACTAGATAGTCCACTTCCTATCGTCCGCCAACTATTTAGTACGCCATTGGTCCGGCCGCCTTACGCTGCGAGCAGCTTATTTTCTCTACAGTTCGTCTCTGTGCAGCATACGATTTTCCATATCTCCTATTTTTTGACGAAAGCGGCATGAAAAATTCTCCAAATATGCAACACAAATTAAATGCCTACATGATATCGACGCTATAAAGTAGGTATGAAGATTTTCTCGTGAAGGAATTGATCAATTTTCCAAAAATGTAGAATGACAAGCATTAAATGAAGACAAAATTTCAATTTTAATGTTCAATGTTCAATTTTAATGGTGGTTTTTCCTGTCAATAATTTCGATAAAACTTTTGTGTATAGAAATTTTAATATATCACTTATACTGGAAAAATTAACAGTATCTTCTAATTTTTTGGTTAAATGGTTTTGCACTAAGCTCGAGAGACCCTTATCGTTACCTATCCCCAATGCTTATATGGACCATTCGACCAATTCCTGTACCCTAATCTGGCTTCAACATTATTTTTTTTCGTTTGTTGTGCTCTTCCGACTATTTATGTCTAGAAAATTAGATTTCCCAATTATGAGGTGCATCCCAATTAGGAAGTCCATGCTGTTTCAATTCTTCGATTAAGAAAATGTAATTCAGTAACGCGGCTTTCAAGATTTGCGCGAAAAAATAATTTTCTTTACAACTTGCGCTATTTTAAAATAGTTACTACAGCGATCGCATCCAAATAACTGCTTTCTTTATCGCGCTGTGTGTGAAGTAACATTTAATGCTTACTCCGTGTGCGCTCAACCTTATACGATTAGGAGAAAGTGTTTCCCGATTCATGGGAGATTTGAAGGCGAGCCGGAAGCGGATGATATATTCGCACGAGTATAGAAAACACTTTCCCGCGAGTATCGGTCTCTACTTTTTTATCACAATGTTTACGAAGTGTGGCACGTGAGAGTGCGTAAAATGTCACTTCACACACAATGTGTCGGAAGATATTATTCGACACTCATGAGAACAGTCCTCTTGCGAATCGTAAACCACTTTTCTGCCTTCATCTCGAAATAGACTATTTTGTGATACCTGCCGAGTTCACTCGTCGGACTTGTAGTGGGAGTAAGGTGCATGTTCTTCTACATAGAGTGTGTAAAGTTTAAGGCAGTGCGTGAAGTGAATTATGAGTGCGCAAAGCGAAGCTTACGCTCGAGAAGTTGCTTTTATGTACCGCCTCTGAACTTCACGTATGCTTACCTTCGGCTCGTGCTATAAACCTCCCACGAATGCAAAAACACTTTGCCGCGATCATATCAAAATGTTCTATTTCTTACGTGTATATTGTGATATACAATTTCACATTCAAAACGCTATAATTTCCTCAAAAATTATGGGAATTAATTTCCAAATGGGTGTACAATATGTTACCTCAATGCAGATGAAAGTGAGGAATTATTCCAAAAATCGAAGAAAAGGGAATCATTGCGGTCACGGATCCTTTACTTATGGATAATTATTATTTTCAAAGGGAAACCTGTTTGACAAGTTGGAATAATACTTCTTTCTTTGCATTTCAGGACATTCGGTACGAATGTTTGCTTCCAAGTGGATACAGACAATCGCGAAAATTTCCCTTCAACCATCGCTTTCTCAAAGTTTCGAAAGCAGCGCGACCTGTTTTACCAGTCTTTAAAAATCTGGGAGGACGGTCATCAAGCTTCTAATTGGTGCTTTTCCTCAGCTTTAACCCGCAAGATAAACTCGTTGATCTCTCTCCACGACGAGACCGTCAACTACTACCATCTGGCCCGACTCTTTAAGTCTCAACTCCTTACTTCATGCCTTCAACATCCTTCGGAGGATTCATTCGATGACCAAACTCTTCCAATGCTAAAATCTTGGAAATCAGCAAACTTGGAGAAATTCAAACAACTTCAGGGACGTCTCGTTACTCCTCTGTCTTCAGATGGTATAGTTCCCCGCCCTTCTTTCCCAGGTGTTCAAGAATTTTACCGAGATTTTCTCCTCACATCTGCGAATACAAAATTCAATTCAATTCTGGAAAATTGTTTCATCCAGGAAATAACAGATTTAAACTCCACCGCCTTCAGCCTCAGTGATATGAAAGCAAGAGAAACCAATCTAGTTGAGAGCATGAAACAGAAATATTTCATCTGCATCTGTAGTCTTCAACTCTTATCGAAATTTTTAGGATTCCTCGTTTCAATTCCATTTAAATCTGAAGCTGCCACGTTAATTGAACGGAACATTCAGATTTCTTTAAGGAGCCACTTCAACCCGTCCTTAAATCTTCAAAAAACGCTGCTCAATGCATTAGTTCATAAGAAATTAACGTTGACAATCCCCTGGATGGTGGAATATTTGGCCGTTATGGACCCAGTGGCATTTAGACTTCCTTATTACATAAAAGTCTGCCAAGTTCTTTACTATATTTACAGGAATTCGGAAGTGCTGACAAGTCCAAAAGGTTCACTGTTAATTACTTTCATCCTGGGACGGCTTTTTGAACTTCCAAATTTTCCCAAAGATCTGTACTTCACTTGTCAGTCTACTTTTAATGATCAAAGAATTAGAGATGAAATATCTTCACATTTGAATCAATTCGAATGGTTTGAAGACTCTCTTTCACCTGCCAGCCTTAAGAAAACAGATGTTCTGCTCGATGAATTGGAGTTGATTGATGACAGAATAATCATTACGTGCTGTTCTTTCTTAAAAGAATTCAAGATACTGTTAATTTCAGAGACTGGTAACTTTGGTAATATCAACCGTCATATAACTCCAGTGTCCACTCAATTATCTCAACCATCAACTGAACCTAAAGTTAAGGCATTGCAACTTCAACAAGAAGATGCTTTCTTCCATGGTCAACCAGATTCAGTGAAGAAGACTGTTGACTTTGTCGCTGAAAGGATTGCCTCCAATGCCGTTAAGCATATCTGCAGGGAATTAATTCCATCGATAAAGCGGAAACACTTTACTGTATTAAGAAAAGCAGCAGTGGAAACGATGAAGAGCACACCCGACTTTAACAATCGTAAAGAAAAGCAGTTCCATCACAAGTTCCTAAACTCGGAAAATTCTCCTAATTTAGTTGCATTGATCATCAGAGACTTACGAGATTATGGAAATGAGTCGATTCCTAGGATCTGCCAGACGAAATGCACAAAGGCCCTGTTTTCATTGTTGTCAGAAGACACTCACACAGCTGTCATGAAAATGTGTGTCAAAATTTGCATGAGGCTATCGATAGAAAAGATCAATCAGTGGTTAAATTTTTATATTGGGGACGCAGTAAATTTCAAGCAGACTCATTCCGAATATTTAGTATTTAAGCCAAAACAAGAAGCGAAGGAAGCGAACATTTATATTCACGATTCATCAACACTCAGCCCCACTCAAATAATTGATTTAATAAGAGATTCTATGTGGGAATTGATGGAAAAAAATGGTAAGTGGTCAGTACTGACTGAAGAGAATGTGTTAAAAATTTTAAAGCGATTGAAAAAGGCTTTGTATGGACGAAAAGACTTTCAGACGTTTGTTGAAAAAACAATATATGTACTGAGTATTGATTATGCCATTCATTTGATTGTGTATAATCAGTATCTGTTTACTAATACAGTCCTTGAGGAATTTTTCGATTTGTGGAAAAATTACGAGGTTGAAGATGGAAGCAATAAACTATTTGAAGGGATTATGAGTTGTAGGAATATCCAGTGGCTACGGTATACTTGTGATTCAAATTGTTGGAAGAAATTCGGGAATCTAATTGACAGACTATTGAGAGGAAAACTTTTGGAAATTGGCAATTTCAGTGATCAGTGTGTGGCTATTTTTAGAAGAGATTTGCCGGAGGACGTAACGAAATTCTTGCCTGGCTGTATGAATGAGGCAATTAAGGGATTCAATGCAAATGATGAAGAGACAGAACGGATCAAAATGATGATGAGATGGATTTCTGCAGCTTGCAGCGAACTGGATGAAAGTGAAAATGAGAATGAAGATTATGGGAGTGAGGCTCAGCAGTTTAGATTCGAAAATTTAACACTTTAGTATCTAAATACCAGGAATCTAGCTTCTAAATGAAAAAAGGAGTAGGCAAATTTATCTTGAGGATTAAGACGCAGCTGTATAATTGGGCTACAGGAGGAAAATACCACAAATATATTTTTTTCTAAGAATTCTGAAACCTGGACATCAATTTCTAAAAAATATGGCCATATTAGTGTAACTACTCAAAAAGCGATAAAATTAGGAGCCTCAAACTATCGTTGGAGCTCGGTTATAGTTATCTCCAATTGATTGTATTGGCGGTTGCGGAGTCTAATTCGATTGTAATCAAGGGTTAACGTATATTATTTGTTTGGGGTATCCTTGAGGTGTAAAGATCATCAGCTAACTTTCAATATAGCACTGTTGCCGACCAAGTACCAGTTTGTTGTTTGTAAAAGTGGAAAAATAAATAATAAAGACAGGATAAGAACACAGGATGATAACCGATTCCAGGATGTATTCTCTTTTTTTTTAAGAAAAATTAAGTTCCAACTGTGCATGTGCTCATCTGCTACCTTCAGCCGCATTTAGATAAAATCATCCTAGGTAACAGAGACAGAGAGAGCGCTGACGTCTGCGCGTCTTGATTTCTTTTTCGATATCACAACTTTTTCGTTTTAGTAAAGCCATATAGCAGAGGTGGGCAACCTCAGCTCTCGGAGCTACTTCAGCTCCCGACCTTAATTAGGCTAAATTGTCTCAAGTCATAAAATTTATGGCTGCGCCCCCCTTCGGGCCCGTGATGCCCTGCGTGTAGGCAAGAGTAGAGGGGATATTCGGCATAAACTTGGTGGTGGGAAAAGTAAAATAAGAAAATTTTCGATTTTTCCCATGGAAACTTCCTTTTAATTACCCAAATTTTTGTTCTGATTTTTTTGATTAGCTAATACGTTTGTGCACTAACGCATTGCACAAAAAAAATATTCGCAACTTCCATATATTGCTTGAAGAGGAAATATTGTTCAGAAAACTATGAATAATTATTATTATGTTGTTGATCATAATAAATTTCCGAATTTCCCTTCTTTATTTTTCACTCTCAACGCCAAATTAAAATGCCGGAACATTTTCCTAAGAAAAATATTATCAGTGTCTTCCAATCCTTGGAAATATTTAATGCATAATTTTTAATCGATTCCCATCAATATCGATTAATCTTCTTTTTAAACTCACCAGTCCATCCAATTTTTTAATTTTAAGAAAACAGAAAATGTCCAAGCACGTTAGAAAATTTCACAACATCGCTTATCAACATTAATAGTATTTCTCAACAAAATAATAATAAAATAGAAAATAAATAATAATGATGTTTCTCAATTTTATTATAGAATCTGCGGGTATTATCAAATTGAATTATCACTTCGTTTAATTGAAAAGTCGAATAAATTTGACCAATTTTCAATATGTCCTTGAGAACATACTAGTTCAAGCCATTTACGAAAAAATGTCCTGAAATCTTTCTTTTTAAACTCATTCCGTTATGTAGA